GAAATGAAACAAATAATAATAAAGTACAGAAAAGAAACACAGAGAGTAAAAATGTTCTTATATTGAACTATATATATATATACAATCAGTCCAATAAAAAATAATAATATTTTAGGTAAATAATTTTCTAGTAATTAATAAGTGAATTTTAATAAAACCCAAACATTTGCAAATGGCTCAATTTAGGCCATACTAAAGCGTACCAATGATGTTATATTTTATCTTTCGGAATCATTCTTTACCTTTAAAACAATTAACAATTAATTTTTTTTAAAGAATAATACATTTTAATTTTAAAGATTTATTTAAATTAAGCAAAATATTTCATATGTTAAAAAAAAAAAGCATTGCTAAAAGGATCTAGGCCTTTTTTGTCATTGGCATCATCATTGGCTGCAGCAGTGTTGTATTCAACCAACAAGTATCTGTCAAGATATTGGTTCTGTGCCCAGTGTCATTCTAGGCATGGACAATCGGCAGTGAACAGAACAGAGATCCCTGCCTTCCTGGAGCTCAGTCGTAATGGGAGAGACTTAGGCAAACATGGGAGTGAAAACCGCTAGGAAGAAAACTAAGTCAGAGTCAGAAGGTGGATGGTGACAGGGGTGCTGTTCCTACAGGGGTCTGGGAAGTTCTCCGTGAGGAGGGCTGTAGGAGCCTTGGACCCCATTTCCTACCTCCCTAGCTCAGGGCGTCAGGCTCCCTGGAATCCAAGACCACAGGCCCTGAGCTGAGCACCTGTTACTAGGAGGGTGCTGATTCTCCCTCCAAGTGCAACCAGAATATTACAGGAAGTTAACAGGTGGTCCCATTGATCTCAATGCTCCAAGCCCCCAGCCGCGTGGTGTCGGGAAGGCTGGTCTTTTAGGGAGTCACGGCTATACATAGTCTTGAGACATTTCAGGGAAGTCCCAGGTGGGCACAGGGCCACTCTAGCCTTGTTCTCTGCACCTACCACCCAAGGCCCAGGGCCAGCAGCATCCCTGAGGCATCGCTTCTAGGACTCCATTCTACTGTTAGTATCTTGCCACCACCAAGTCCGCTGTTACTGTAGTGAAGCCGTAAGTCAGAGACTAGGAACGCGGCCCATGATTTTGCCAACACCGGGGGAAGCCGAAACTCGGTACCGTCGCTCTTGCAAAGTGAAAAGGGAGTAATACAAAGAGTAACACAGCACAAAGCTGTGCACGGAGAGTAACACAAAGAGCACAAAGAGTAACACAAAGTTGGTTCCTAAAACGTTATCCAGTTAGTCAAGCAGCAATCCCACTCCCCTGGACAGAGTCGGGGAAGGCCTCCACCAAGGCTCCCCATCCCTGGTGGCCATGCCAGGGCTCTCCCAGGCCAGAACAGGCGCTGCTCCAATGAATCACCCCCTGCTCTTACCCCAATGGCAGCTCTGACTTTGCAAACAAGAATAATATGTCTGATCACTCAGTCGAGGGATGGCACACAGATTGAGTGGCACGAGGATTTCTGAGGTGAGTTCGTTCTGAGTGCCCCCTGTCATTCTCTCGGGTGATCTGCTTTCCTTTGGGTGTCATCCCTCCCAGTGCTCCCTCTAGCCCCCCATCCATCCGACATGTTTGTGTCCATGCTCCAAGAGTCGACAACGTTTGTCTCTTAATCCTATCTTTTGTATGAGAAAGAAAGGAAAATAAGAAAACGTATGTATCTATCAGCTTCGGATTACAAAAGAAACACAGGGCAGATAAACCAGAAAATAATGAGGTTGGTTATCTACAAGAAGTAGGAAGGAATGGGGCTACAGATGGAACATTTGTGTCTACTCAGAGGTTGACTTCCTATGTTGAAACCTAATCCCCAGTGGGATGGTATTGGGAAGTGGGGCCTTTGGGAGGTGATGAGGCAATCAGGGTGGAGCCCTCATGAAGGGGACTACACAGCCAAAAGGACCCACAGCTTATGAACCAGGAAGCAGGCTCTCACCAGACCCAAAACCTATTGGTGCCTTGACCTTGGACTTCCAGCCTCCAGAACTGCGAGAAATGAAGTTCTATTGTTTCTAAATCCCCTGGTCCATGGTATTCTGTTACAGCAGCCTGAGCAGACTGAGACAGATCGGGTGGAAGCATTATGGGAAGAAGTGGTACTTCTCTGAGTGTATCTTTTAAAAAAAAAAAAAACTTTTTTTAAATGTTTATTTAGTTTTGAGAGAGAGAGCAAGGGAGGGGCAGAGAGAGAGAGAGAGAGAGAGGGAGACACAGACTCTGAAGCAGGCTCCAGGTTCTGAGTGGTCAGCATAGAGCCTGACAGAGCCTGATGCGGGGCTTGAACCCACAGACCACGAAATCATGACCTGAGCCAAAGTTGGACACTTAACTGACTGAGGCCCCCAGGTGCCCCGAGTGTATCTTTTTTAAAAAAATAGTTTGGGGCACCTGGGGGCTCAGTCAGTTGAGCGTCTGACTTCGGCTCAGGTCATGATCTCAGGTACATGAGTTCGAGGCCCGCGTCGGGCTCTGTGCCGATGGCTTAAAGCCTGGAACCTGCTTCGGATTCTGTCTCCCTCTCTCTCTGCCCCTCCCCCACTTGTGCTCTGACTCTCTCTCTCTCTCAAGAATAAATAGACATTAAGAGAATAATAAAATAAAAATAATTTTGACTTTTGTAACCATGTCAATAATCTACAAATTCCAAAAATGAATTAAAATTCATACAGATGGGAAGAAAGCAAAGAGCGAAACCAGTGAGCCTAATTATATTTCAAGTGAGAATCATAGCCGCACTGAAGGGGGAGGAAAGAGAGAAAGAACTCATCCAAGTAACTTATGAAAATAGTTTTTTACTATTTACCCTTAACCTGGGGCAGGATAGAGTATGTGTGTGTGTTGGGGATGGCAGAGGAGGAGAGCAGGGGAACAAGCACAGACAAATCCCAAGTTCCTTAGAGATTAGTTTACTGTAGTGGAATGAACTACAGGGTTCTCACTAAGGAAAAAAAGCTATACAAATATAAAAGTGGGAAGGCAAGAAGAACCCTGTGTGAAGAGACTTGAATCACAATTCAAGTATTGGTGTGACCTCGTGATTTTACAAATGTGTGCGTGTGTATGAATGTTTACATGCATGTGCATAATCCAGGCCGGTGCATATGTGTATGCATATTTGTGTGTGTATTTGTATATTCGTGCACATATTTCCTAGCTCAACCACTGAAAGGGCCAAGAAGCAAAGATACCCCAGCAGCAATGAGCACACCCAGCCCCCAGATCTTGGTCTCTAATACCATTTTCCCTCTAAAAGGAGCCAGGACTTCTCAGAGAAGTGGCTGATTCTAGGACTAGAGCAGAGTAGGGACAAGACAAGCCTAGAACATCTTATGCCACAAAGTAAGGAATTGCTCAAGAAAAAAACAATAAAAAATGATGGGGTATGTCACAGAACAGAGGAGCCACCATGCTGGGGCCCCCACTGGCCCAAATCTGGACAATTTGGACAACAACAAAATAATGGGCTAGAATAATGAATTATGAACCACTGAAAAAATGGAAATTTATGAGTCCATATCAATAATAGATATTTATTTATTTAGATGATGATCGATAGATAGACAATAGGAGATCAGCTCTTGCTTATAGTAGAATGTTGAGGACAAACACATAAATGTAGAGAGAACGTTAGAGCTGGGCGATTAGCATTTTACAACCATTGGTATAGATGGATTGAGTCGGTCAAGAATCATTAGTAGATATTAAATCTAGGAGAAAATTTTGACAAGAAATGGTCTTCTCTTCCCAGACTGCCTACTAGCTGCAAAGGTGGGGGGAAATGATGGTAATTAATAGTGGAGAAATCAGGCAACACATGACTGGATGATCAAAAGTAAGATCACCTGTGAGGAACAAATGGCTGTTATGTGCCTCCAGATGGGATACCCCAAGAAACATGCAGCATGGCATACATTGATTTGTTCCCAAGTATGCACAACCCCAGCCTAATCAAACTGGCACACAAACACAGAATGAGAAACAGCCTATTTTTAAAATGGAAGCGGGGCACCTGGGCCGCTCAGTCGGTTGAGCCAGTCGGTTGAGCATTCAACTTCAGCTCGGGTCATGATCCCGCAGGTTGTGAGTTTGGACCCCATACGGGGTTCGTTGCTGTCAGCCTGTCGGCGCAGAGCCGGCTTCAGATCCTCTGTCCCCGCCCCTCTGCCCCTCGCCCATGTGTGCTCTCTCAAAAAACAAATGATAATAAATAAAAATCAAAAATGGGGGCACTGTATTCTTCAAAACTGTCAATATCCTACAAGGCAAAGAAGGGCTGTGGAAAGGTTTCAGATCAAAGGAAGTTAAAGGGACGTGACAACCAAACACAATATCTGAGCCTCCCCTGGAACCTGTCCTGGAGGGGAAATGCTATTAATAGATCAAGCAGAAAAAAAATTCTAATCTGGGTGATGGACCAGATAATGCCCATCTACCAAGTTGGTAAGCACACTGTGGCATGTAAGAGAGTACCCCTAGTTTCAGGAAACATATACTGAAATGTTTAGGGGTATAGAGCCATAATGCATGTAACTTACCACAAATCACAAATGGTTCAGAAAATATGTATGACATATATACATATAAAATTATGTGTGCATGATATATATACATGTATATAAAGAGAGAGAGAAAGTACACTGTTCTTAGAACAAAGTAAACTGTAAATAATACGGTAAATCTGGGCGAAGTGTGTGTGGCTGTTCTTTGCGCTATTTTTAGTTTTGCACCTTTCGTGAGTTTGAAATTCTTTCCAAATAAAATGCTTAAAAATACCCTTATGTTTGCCTTGCACTTGACCATTTTTTGGCATGTCCATATGCTCTGGTACTTCGGATGCTCCCAGCATCCCCCTGAGGCAGGCAGGACGCGCATTGCTATTTTATTTCCCATTTTTCAGATGAGGAAGTGAAGGCACCGGGCCGCTGAGCGTCTCGCCAAGTATTACTTCCGGTGCAACGGGGCGGGGGGGGGGGGGGGGCCCGGCCCCTCCCCTCCAGGTGTCCAGGGCAGGCGCGCATTTCTCCCATCCTGTCGCGATCCATTACGGTTCCTGCTACTGATCTCTCTGGGAGGTAATGAGTTTCATAATTCTGTTTCCCTGAGTTTATTACTCAGGCCTTTGAAACCCAAGGCGGGAGTCTGTTTCTTCAGTGATCCCCTGGCCCCCTGTGTCCCCTCCGCTGGCATTACAGCGGCCCCTCGTGTGTTCTCTCCAGTGCTGGACACACATTGACTTCAGAACCGGTTGCACGTATTGTCGCCACGTCCGGTTTGTTTCTGTTTGTCTCCCTGAAGGGCAGGGACCACGTATTGTACCTCTGACCCTCAGCCCCAAGCTCTGTGCCTGGCTCTGAATGCTTGACGAATAAATGGCTGTGGGGCTGAATGAAACCTTCTCTTATTTGACCTAAACTCACCTCAATCAAGTCTCAAAGTGAGCCTTTCATCATGGAATTGGAATTAAGTAGGATTAAAGTTAACACTGTCCTGGCTGGCACACCTCTCCGGCTCCTTCTCTCTTGTTGTTGTTGTCTTTTTGTTTATAAATGTTTATTGACTTATGGTGAGAGACAGAGACAGAGAGCGCCTGAGGGGTGGGGAGGGGCAGAAAGAGCGGGCGAGGGAGAGAGAATCCCAAGCAGCCTCCACACACAGCGTGGTGCCCAAAGCGGGGCTTGATCCCGTGACCCTGGGATCATGACCTGAGCAGAAATCAGGAGTCAGAGGCTTAACCGACTGAGCCCCCCTAGGTCCCCTGGCCCCTTCTCTTTCTTGCAGGGGGTAGCAGATTGAGGGTGAATCCAGGTCATATGGAAGCAGGTGGGGGTTTTTCCCTACTACGGGAAGGAAGAGCTTCCTAGTGAAAGTGGTCCAGAGGGGGGTGGGAAGCGACAAGGTTAGGGGATGGAGTAGACAGAAGAGTTGAGGTCTGAGACGGGTGAATAGGAACTTACTACTGAGTCCCAGGCTCCACGTCAGCGGGAGGTTCAGCCCTCAGGGAAATGGGAATTTTGGTGGACCAACCTTCAATGCCATCTAAGTGACCACCTCCCCTATGTAAGTAGCCCAGAAAATAACTAAGGAAGGGACCCTGCACACCCATCTCAGGGAACCAGACTGATATCTGCCTTCCTGAGTCATCGCCCTCGGGGGACTGGGGGCTATGATCTTCCCAGCACAGCTCCGTACAGAGCGTGAGAAGGTAGAACCTCCAAAGAAACCCCTGGATTTGAGACAAGGCTGAAATCTTATTTGAAGGGATTTGCTTTCGATTTCCTTTTTTTAAATGCATTTTTAATAACAAGCCTGTTCAATCAAAAGGGGGTATTGGACTGCTCGGAAGAGCAGCGGGATCTCCCTCAATGTAATTTGGATCCTTTCCTAAACCCACTTCCTTTGATTCTGCCAGCTCAGATCTGTCTTCAGTCGGGAACTCACAAAGCCTTGTTGTCAGTGGTGTGGAAGAAATTCAGTTAGAAACGTCCCCAAGTACATCTCTGGACCCATCCTTGGCGGGCAGGAGGGTGAGTTGCCTTTCGCCGGATACCAACGAGCGACATCACACAGATACTTTGAATGTTAGAGCGGGACCCTGGGTCGTATGGGCCCAGCCTCTCATGGCACTGACACCCGCAAGGCTAACCTCCTGAGCCCCCCATGAGGATAGACAGGTTCCGGCTCCTGTGGCTGACCTGTCCTTCTTCTTACGGAACAGGAGGCTGGACAGGCGGCCATGACCCTGGGGCATGGCACCAACACTCCTGGTTTTCTGGACCATGGAAGAAACAATGAGCACTCAGATCTGATAGGCAAGTCTGGGGATTCTTGGGTTAAAACTCCCAAGGAAACCGGGGAGACGATAGGTACTGTTAACCACTGGGGTTGGGCTGCTCCAAGCCAGTCTTGGCTGGGCCGTGGAAGTCAGTCTAAGGTCAGAGGGCTGGGGGCCCTGGACCTCAAACCGATCTGAGTTAGTCACAGTGGTGTTGCATGGATTCTTCCAGTTCAGAAGAGGGAGGTGTGATCTAAGCCTCTGTGCCCAGCATCAGTGCCCATGTGACAGAGTGGACACACCGCCAGGGGAAGGAGGTGGCCATGGAGCCCCACGGCACAAAGCGAGGCTGCACGGCTTGGGAGAATTTGACCAGGGCAGGAGCCTGGGTATCAGAGCTGGCCATGGCAGGTGCCCCTAAAGCCAGGGTAGAAGATGAGGCCGGAGTCATACCTAGATTGAGCCAAGTCAGCCTCCTCCCTCACTGGTACAAACATGGGACATGTTCTTTTCAATGTTTTCCTAGAAATGTTCCAATCCTAGAAGGGTACAGATAATCTGGCAATCATATAGACCTTCTCCAGTCCGGGGACAAGGACTGAGTGAGGACCTAATCTCAATTCAATGTGTGCTGAACGCAGTACCCAGAAGGATCCTGTAAGAGCTCTCCTCTGTCAAACCTCCCTTGCAGTGGCTGCAAAGCCCAGGGTGTTGTGGTTGCCTGTTAGTTCTCAGACAGCATCCTCTATGGTTCCCCCCACTTTGTGGCCCCGTTCTGGCCAAGCAGGCCTTCTCCCTATTTCCCTGGCTCACCAGGCCTGCGGGTGCATGCTTGGTGTTCTCTCTGTCTGGGTCTGCCTCTCCCAGATATCCCCAGGGCTCTGGCTCTCTCCTGCAGTTCTCTACTGAAGCATCATCTTCTCAGAAGGGCCTGCCCTGACCACCCTATTTTAAATTACAACACCCCACACTCCCTATGCCCCTCCCCTAGTGTAGACCTTATTTACCGTCTGATGCACTTGGTGCTTAGATGATCTGCTTATTATCGGGCTCCCCGACCAGAAAATGGAGCTCCATTGGCTTGGGATTTATGTCTGTTTTGCTCACCACTCACTCATGAGGACCCAGAATAGTACCCGGCACAGAGTAAGTACTCTAAAAGATCCGGGGAGTGCGTGAAGGTGAAATCGGTTAAGATTCCTGGCTCCTAGCTTGGCCAGCCATGTCGGCCTGGGCCCCATACCTGACCACCTTCTAAAAGGGTTCCTCTCCCCAGGCCCCAGATTTGCTTAGCTCAGTTCCTGGTCCCCCACTCCCCTGCCTGCCGTCTGCCCTCTCCCACCACCCAGCTCAATCCTGTCCCATCCCCACCACGAGAGAGGTGCCTAACCTCAGCATTTCCCTGTTTCCCGCAGCACTGGATCCACTTGTCTCTATAACAACCTTCTTTGATTGGGAGACTTTTAATTAGCAACCCAGTCCCTCACTGCCTCTCTCTTTCGGGCAAAGCAATTGACAATATCTTTAAAATATATATGTGTGTGTGTGTGTGTGTGTGTGTGTGTGTGTTGTGTATACCCCGAACCATTATACTCAGGCAAATAAGCCATCAATTTGGTCACAACAGGTGGTCCTCTAGCTATAAGGGAAGTTACAAGCCTTCCCAGTACAAGCCTGCCTGCCTTGTAACCCTCAGCCATGGGCAAACCCAGCCAAAGCCTCCTCCCCACTGATCATCAGCGAGCCAACAGGGAGAAGAGCCCCTCTTCGGGCCCCTTCCCTAAATCAAAGGAACGTATGCTTTCAGAATCATAAAGTACGGGAAGGCCCCAAAGAGAGATTCAATAGACACGTGTCCCATTTTGCCAGGGCAATTCTTTCAAGGCTCGCCGATGTTAACATCCAGAGCTTGCGTCTCAACAGCCCCACACAGACTCCAGGATTTCTCAAAGCAATAGAGCAAAACAGAAACACCAGCCATCTGTCTCTTGAAATTTCCTAGGAGGGGCAACCCGTAGCTGGGAAGACACTCGAAAGCAGTGTTCAAGTCTGAGACGCATCACACTGAGTTATGGGAGCAGAACTTTCGGGAGGCCTTCTCTCCAATGGTATGAACGTGAAGCAGGCATATTTCGCACCCACGGCCACGGCCATGGCCCCTCTACCGCCAGTGGCCACAGCTGTGGGGGGGACCCCGCAGGAGCCAAACAGCCTGCAAGAACGCTGACTCGGGAGAGCGAACCCTGGCCCAGCAACGTCCGCAGTCATTCCGGGCCAAATTCAGTTGAAATGAGACACTTTTTAAGAACGATTTCTAGGTAAGTGGTGGAGAAAATAGGATCACCCTGAACACGCGGAGCAAAGAAAGGAGCAGCCCCGTAAGTGTAGAGATGGGTCCTCCGCCTTCAGGCAGGGTGAGCCCAGACGCGCCTTCACGCAGAGGCATCGGCTGGGACAATGACTTGTGTGGGTTGTCATGACAATGAAATTGAAACTGGGATAAACAATAGCCACTCCGCCAGCCGCCTAACCTCTGAGCCGACCTGTCATTACGACAGCAGCTGCCTCGGCCTCAAGCAGACGTCAGGAGATGAGCATCCCTGGGGCAGGCTTTCCTAACAGGTGGCCAAACGTGAGGCTGGAAATCAACTGGGCCCTTTTGCTCATTCTTGAGCTACCCTAGGGAATCCAGCAGCCTCCTGTAAAAGGTCCCCGGAGCCTGTAGAGGGACCACAGAGCCCAGAAAGTTCATGCAATGGGCCCACAGACCCACAGCATGCCGGCAGAAAAGGCTAAGAAATGGTACCTCATCCTAAGTGCAAAACCTCAGAAACCAGTGTTTCCTGGGAGTGGCATTTCTAAAGGCTGCTTTCAGCAAGAGCTTCCCGGCATTCCTCACCAAATGGACCGATGCAAAATTGAATTATTGTCTCTGATAGAACTTGAAAATCCCTTTGTACTTCCAAGGCAAATGTAAATGCACAGTCCTGTGGCACCTCTGTCCCACCCTTCCCACCGCCTCTGCTCGCCTCAGACTCCAGCCTAAGCCCCCACCGCATCTGCAGGAGCCGGGCACCAGGAAACAGAATCAAATATGCCCCATAGGGCTCAACTTGGCTTTAAAAAAATGGTATTATTTATATTTAACAGCAGCTTCAGAAAAAGCTGCAAATCCTAGGGCATGGCAGAAATGTAAATGCTAACTGATTGTTATTCTTACGGAAACTTAGAATTCAAAAGTTTAATCAACCTCGTTAGCATAGTTTGGGTGACTTCAGTCCGTAACCTTACCCTGGAGTTGATTATTTATGGCGCCCTGAACAGGAGCCGAAGATTAACTTTGATTTAATGTAACAATTCCATCCCCAGTATAATTCATAATGCAGATACGTTTGTCAAAAATAAATCACGTTGCTTCGCCCATCTCAGAACAGGAAACCCAGAAAGGAATAGAAACAGAATCCCTAATCTTTGGTTTCTGTAGTCATTCTGGCTCTCCCTTCCCCCCTGCTCAAGTCTGTGCCTGCCCAGGGACAGGCTTTGGAGGAGGCTGAGAGCATCCGTGTGCAGAGAAAGCTATGGATCAAGACAGACGGGCCCGGCGGGGAAGGGGGTGTGGGGATCTCTCGGGGTGGGTATCTTGCTTCTCTTGAGGGTTTTACCCGAGTAAGCAGCTTTTTTTTTTTTTTTTTTTTTTTAAATTTTTTTTTCAACGTTTATTTATTTTTGGGACAGAGAGAGACAGAGCATGAACGGGGGAGGGGCAGAGAGAGAGGGAGACACAGAATCGGAAACAGGCTCCAGGCTCTGAGCCATCAGCCCAGAGCCCGACGCGGGGCTCGAACTCACAGACCGCGAGATCGTGACCTGGCTGAAGTCGGACGCTCAACCAACTGCGCCACCCAGGTGCCCCGAGTAAGCAGCTTTTTAATAAGGCGGAATGAGAAAACATCACAGGAGGCCAGTCTGGTGAAAGGGCTGTTTGTGGAGAGCACGATCCACATGTCTTGCGTGTGTTCGAGGTGTATCCGTGTACAGTTTGCTTTCACCCGTATCACTGCCTCAGTCTTCACAGCGATAGATGGGGCCGATGGCAACTGAGGCCCGAGGAAGCCGAACGCCTTGTCCACATCCCGTGGCTGGTGAAAGGCGGTGCTGATCCTGGAATGCTGGTCTCCCAGCACCATCTGTCAGCAGGTGGAGAGAAAGGAGTCCAGCTAAGCAATCTGCCTCCTGGCCAAGGAAAGCAGAGTCCTTGCCCACCCCATCAAGGGACAGTAGGAGACCCCGCTCCCAGAGCAGACAGGAGAAATCCTCGCGACATCACCAGCGTAATCAATTTCCAAGAACTCAGAAGTGGCATTCGTGACACCTGCTGGAAAACAGAAAATGTAGGTTTCCCACACGTTTGGCAAAAAGCACCGTATAGAACCTCCCTAGATGATGGGGGGCATAGAACTGCTGGGATCCTCTTTATCCCTTTATCCCCCTTCACATAAATTTACCTCTGCGATGTACCAAGCTCCCTGCCAAGGAAGAAATCTCTTTCCATGGGCAGTACCAAGGAGCCAGACTGGCATTGCTGTGTGCTAATTCTCTGTCTGGACTGCTAAAGCCACCCAGACGTGCCAAGTTTTAGCGGCAACAGGTTTGCCTGCCAAGAACCAACGTCCCCTGCTTCCTCTCCCACCTACAGGCCGGGCAGCGCCAGCTCCCCTTTTCCATGCCAGGCGGAGCCGATGCGATCTCACAATGGGCCGCAGAGCAGGGTGCCAGCAGCCAGAGCCTTGGCCAGTGGCTGGCAAACTCAGACTGTGCCATTTGGCTCTTTGGCTTCTGCTGTGGAAAAGAACTGGCTGAGAAGAGGTAAAAGCTTTTGGCAAAATATGAAGTTTGGGTTCTCTTGGTCCCAACCCAGCGGGGATAATCATGACCTGGCATGGCTTGTGTGTGTGTGTGTGTGTGTGTGTGTGTCCTCATGCGTTAATCGCATAGCTTTAACGGTTATAGAATTAAGATGAAACCAGGCCACCTGAAACTAACACAGCGCTGTATGTTAACTAAGTGGAATTAAAATAAAAACTTAAAAAAAAAAAAAAAAAAAGACAAAACCAGGCCAAAAGATTCATTGTGAAACAGCACCCAGGGCCTTGGAATAAATTGTGACCAGCCTTGGATTGGGTCACCATGATGTCATAATGCATACGTGGGTACATCCACCACGGGCCAATACTCTATTGTGTCCTCCATCCATGTTCTTTCAGGTGATCTTCTCAACGATATGCAATCAGTGTTTTTATCGTCTGGGCTTTAAAGACGAGAAGACTGAGGTTCAGAGCCGTTGAGTAGCTTGCCCAAGGTCACACAGCCACTTAATGACCTATTCAAGGCCCGGACCCATATCCATCCAGTTTTCCTCTTTACAGTTACATGTATGCAGTTGTCTCCTAACCAGACCTTAAGCTCCATGACGAAAGGGTTTGGATTCCCACATCTGAAACGGTGCCAGCATCCAGGCGCAGAATAGGCTCTCGGTAAATATATATTAAGTACGTGCACGAATAAATGAACGAGCCCCACTATGACTATGTCACGGAAGCAAACGGCTTCATATCCACTCCCTACCTGAAGCCCCAGAACAGAGTAGTTAAGGACGGGGCACTGGGGTGTTACACTCCCAGGGAGCAAGGGTGAGGTGAGCCTACGCTCTCTGCAGGGTCCGGACGACAGAGACTGCCTGCCTTCCTGTCTCCTAGATATTTACGTCATCACACCCCAGCGCAAGCTTCCCGTCGGTCACACGTCTCCCTGATAGGCCCCTGCGCCGAAACGCCCCGTGCCCCTTGGCACCCATGATCATGGCGTAGGCATCCATCCTCCATCTTGTCAAACAGCTGTCACACCTTGACAGCAGATGGCCTTGGCAATCTTGGCAATCCAGCCGGACAAGTTTCTACCTGAACTTTGGCTCAGCCAGTGCCTGGATGGAGGAGTCAGAAAGGAGACCTAGAAAGGAAAGTACCTTCTGTTTTCTCATTCCCAACCGCACAGGGCTGGGGGAAAGGGCTAATGGCCATGGGGAAACACCAGTGGGAATATACCTGCTTTGGACAGATAGGAGCTAGGGTCCCCCACTCATCCCCTTGCCTCCAGGTATGCCTGCACACAACTCACCTGCGACAGACCTGTTCTTCCACAGCCCCCAGACAGGAAGCTCTCTGATATCCTATCTATCTGCCACGGTCAGTCCCTCCCCATGGGCAACGCCACAGGGGTGGGGAAATCCAACCATCTGAGGATTCTCTCCAGGCGCTCGGGATGGAACAAGCATCAGTTCTCAGCCCAGCTTCTCAAATGTATGTGTTGTTACTGCTGCTATTTTCAAGGACCTGCTCTATTTACGCCTCACTCCTTGTTGCTCCTCCTAGGGCAAGAGAACTGAATAAATAAAGAAGGCAGGCTTAACCCCTCCCTTGGCAGGGATAGGAATTTGCCAGAGCCGAGTGGGAGCAGAAAGCCCGCAAGACACATACCTTGGGCCCACAAAATGCTTTATATTTGGCAAAGCATTTGCTCATGTAAGCCCCGCAGCTGTGAGATATGAAGTCCATGTTACAGGTACGAACACAGAGGCGAGGCCAAGGCCACGGAGGTTGCTCTAGGCCATCTTTCGTCTCCTCGTCACCCGGGTTCTCGGTGCCTGGAGAGCAGGAGAAGAGAAACAGTGGTGCTAACGGGCCCCACCACTGGCGGCCTGTCGCTGAGGCTCCCGTGTCCTGCTCTCCCTCCCCTCTGTGAGGGCTGGGGCGGATAAAGGGCCCGCGGAGCCACTCCTATGTGCCAACTTGACTGGGCCATGTGTGCGGTGCCCAGACAGTTAGTGGAACATTATCCTGGGTGTGTCTGTGAGGATGTGTGGAGAGGATTTACCATCTGAATGGAAACGTCGGCTCCTCCTGGGCCTGAAGCCCTAGCCGAAAGGCGCCGCCAGCTTCCCCGCGGCACCAGCTGGCCCACTCCAGATCTTGGGACTTGTCAGCCTCCATAATCACGTGGGCCAGCTCCTTGGCGTAATTCTCTTTCCATTTCGATGTATCTATATCTACACCTATTGGTCGTTTCTCTGGAGAATCCTGACTCACACAGAGCCCCGGACGGGCTCTAAACGGGAAGATGGGCTCTGAACGGCAAAGCCAGGCTGGGCCGAGGCAGGCGGGGACCTCCCATCCTGGCATCCATCAAGAAAGGAAGTGTTATTAAAATTAAAAAAAAAAAAAAAAAAAAAAGGAAGGAAGGAAGGGTTTTCTGCTCTCTTGCACAGACTCTTCCTCAGAAACTCTCCTTTCTCTCCTAAAGCATTTCTCCAAAAATATTCACTGATACCTGCCTTGTAGAGGCGCTGTTTTTGGAGTATGAGTATATCAGTGAATGAAACGGACCAAGATCCCTGCCCTCAGGACACACAGTTCCCATTGCAGATGTAATAAGGAACTTAGATAATATATTGCAAGGGGAGAAATAGGAGGAAAAAATTAAAGATTGGCTAGGGTAAGGGGGACCGGGTGTAGCGAGGTGGGGGGCAGGTGTTGTGCTGAGCAGGTGACCAAGGAGGGTCGCGGTGGGAGTGAGATGTGAGAGGTACTGAAGGAGGCAAAGGGGTCAACCAAGCAGGTATTTGGAGGAAGAGCACTCCAGGCAGGGAACAGCCAGTACAAAGGCCCTAAGAAGGGAGATGCCTGGTGGGCACAAGGAATTGCAATCAGGTCAGTGTGGCTGGCACAGTGAAGGTGAAGAGGGCAGAGGGGCAGGCGATGGGGATGACGTCACAGAGGCAGGATGGTGCAGGGCCATCGGAAAGATTTGAAAGGGAAGCCATGGCAGGGCTTCCGGCAGAGGAGGACATGATCTGCTTTGGGTTTTAAAGGGATCTCCTTGGCAATCTCTTGACCCCTTTTTGCAGGGGCAGGGGGAGGGGAGGGTCAAGGATAGAAGCAGGAAGACCAGTTAGGAAGCTCTTGCCAAAATCCAGACCAGAGATGGTGGTGGCCCTGCCCGACATGGTGTCAAGTGGTCAGGTTCCAGATGGAGTCAGGCGGAAATGCCCCCCAGAGGAGAGTACGTGTTTTCTGGTCTTGAGTCCTGCTCTCTGCCCAGGGACATGCCCTAAGGTGTCCTTAGGGTCCCCTCCCACCCACCCCCCCCCCCCAATCCCGGATATCCCTAGTCACAACTAGGAAGAGTCTTTTTATGAATGGAGCTGGGGAGAATGATGAGAAGGTCAAGTTCTATTCTCTTCCCCAACATCTGGAGCAGCATTAAGGGCTGATGATACCATTCAAGTCCTAGAGCCAAGTGGGGGACAAAAAGGAAAGGGATAGTGGTCTCTTCCATCAGTATAGTCAGTGGTGTGCTGGTGAATGTTTGACAATTGGCTCTCCAGGAAAAAAAGTGTGTAATTTTATGATATGTGTGTAATTTTACTGATAAAAAAAATATGTTGCATATATTTTACAAATACTAGGGCCGCCTGGGTGGCTCAGTTGGTTATACTTCTGACTTCAACTCAGGTCATGATCTTACAGTTCATGAGTTTGAGCCCCGTGTCGGGCTCTGCACTGACAGCTCAAAGCCTGGAGCCCGCTTCCGATTCTGTCTCCTCTCTCTGCCCCTTCCCTGCCTGTGTTTTCTCTCTCTCTCTCTCTCTCTCTCTCTCTCTCTCTCAAAAATAAATAAAACTTTAAAACAAATACTAATAAAATACACAATAGCCTTTACTATAAATTCTATAACCAATTGGTTCTCACAAAATGCTCCTGTTGATTTTTGGAGAACTCGTATCTGTAACCAATGTATGGTTGCAATTGACAAATGAGTGTAGTTCCCACATGAATGTTGGTTGATATTTGTATTCACATTAATGGGTAAAAAGAAAGTGAACCAGCAAAGATGTTCCTTGGGACTTCCTTCTGTTCGTCAATGATGTGAACGACATCTTTGCCGCATCTGATTACTAGTCTTCAATTACTGCGAGAATATTTCCTCGATTTCTTGTGCCATTTACAATGTAATAGCTACACACCCAAAACACTTTTAAGTTAAATCTGCATTATTAAGATTTTCACCATCACTGTTTAAGTCTAAACAAACAACAAACCATCAAAGGAAGTCCTGACTTAAAGCATGTGCCAATTTCCATCTCGTGAATACTCCCACCCTGGCCGATTTCAAGCTACCAAGGTGACATTACTGAATGTGGACTTGGAAAGGGATTCTTAGCCATGAGCCATTATATAATATTTCCAACATACAAATACAGTTGATGTAAATAACCTCAAGCGTAAAGATAATAGTAAAATGGAGTAAAATAATTAGGAGCTAGTAATGAGTTTTGAGTATTTATTACCTTTGCGTTTAATATATTGTAAGTTTATATAATTTAATTTTTAATAATGGCTGTGTTTATCAACCAGCTTGCAAAATCACTGGAAGTTTAACAGTCAACCCTCGTGAGCCAATTCGAGCAGCCCTAGCGCCCCGGCGACCGTGCGGTACTTTCTCAGACATCGCCCATCTTCCCACTGAGAGATCTGCTAGCTATCTATCAAAAACTGGGGACACTGGGGCTGAGGGGGTGAGGTGAGATGCCCAAGGCACCTAGCAGCTGATGTCCTCGAGCAAGGGTGGCCTCAGGAAAAAGTGGCTGGTCTGCGGTCAGGGAGGGTGGGGGAAATCCGAATGGGCCAGAGGAAGTTTCACACGAGGGCAGTGAGGTCTGCGAAGGTTATGGATGAGACGGAGGTCTGCGAAGGTTATGGATGAGAAGGTTATGCTCACATCGCCATCACCAATTCCCCTCAAGCTGCCTAGGCTGGCCTCTTAGAACAGGATCTTGGCGGATCTTCGTGGAGAGGTAGCTGCACCCTAGTTGCATAGGCTGTGGTTGATCAACAGCTTAGCTGCAAATCACTCGCCAATCAACATAAACACCAAGTTCGTCTGCATGATGGACAATCTGCCAGCACCAGCCCCCTCAGAGTCAGTGTATGAGGATCAGGCCACAGGGAGTCAGGCAGAGTGTCTGGCTCTATCTGCCCAATGCACTAGTGTTTTACTGTCCCAGAACTTAGAGAAGGGCCAAGAGAAGAGTTGAGAGGCAGGAGCTGGCAACCCAAAGATCATAGGTGCACCTGCTTGCTGGGTAGGACCTGGTTTCCCTGGGGACAGCCCTACTGTCCCCTGTAAGTCAAGCAGGGCCCTGTTTCAGCTCCCAAGTTCCTACTCTACGCACCAGTGCCTCCAAAAGGCTCAAATGACCTTCGGGGCTCCAGAAATGAGAGGTTTGGTGGCGAGGCCGGGCCCTCCCAAGCCTCCCCAGGCCCACCCAGGTCCTGGACATGAAGGGAGAGCGCTGTGTCACCCTGAACAGCCAGGGAGGCCGAATGGTGGCCAAAGTGCGGTCACTCAGGTTTCGCCCAGCTTAGAAGCTGAGGGCAGAGCAGGCGTCCTTGGGTTCTGGACCCTGAAACAGGTGAGGGCAGCAGAGAGAGTGTAGTCTGGGTCTGGCCGGAAAGTGGTCTACACCCTGGCTTGTAAGCACAGAAAGGAGAGCCCCCAGCCCACCGCTGTCTTTTCTGATTCCATTAGCTGTGTGACCGTGGGCAGGTTAAAAAACTTCTCGGAGTTTCCAGTTTCTTCGTGTTACAAGAAATGAGTTAATAATACAATAAACCCTTGGCTTCCATGAATTTAATATTTGGCTTTTGGTTGTTATTGTTTTTTCACTATTTACTGATCTGCCTATTTGCCTGAGGAGCACCCACTCGCTGGTCCTGTTTGCCTTCCCAGAAGTCCTTGGTCTCCTGCCTCACCAGCCCTGATGAAAGCTTGGGAAGAAGGACCCAATGTCTGCTTTTAGCCCCCTGTTCCCTACTCCTCCGTCCAAAAGCTCGTTCCCCCAGGGGAACTTGGGGTCTGGGTTCCGGTAACTCACACCTTACAGTGTGAGGTCCCAGCCAAGCACCGGGACCTTCACACAGGGCTCTGTGTGGCCCTGAGTGGGGCGGCTGTGCTCACTCCCCTGGTGTCTGTATTTTAACCACCTTGGGGATGGAGGAACATGTGGGCCGGGGGGGTCCCACAGACCCTAAGGCTCAGAGTTGGCTCTGCTATTGAACAGTTACTGAACACAAGTAAGTGACTTGGCTTTTCTGCCTCCAGGTCCCCTTCCTGCCTCGTGGAAGGTCACCTGAGCACGCCTGCTGGGCCTGGGGCTGGTGGTAGGGTGGGGGCGAGGGGAGGGAGCTTCTTCATCCTGCTCTCCCCCACCTGCCCACCCCTCGCTCAAATTTCCTGGCCGCTAGTGACAGCTCAGCTCTAGAAAGGAGCTGAAATTAGGCCCAGCTCAGCCTTGGGCAACTCCTAGAGGGGAGAAGCAGTGGGAGGAGAGCGGCAGGCAGGGAGAAGCAGGGGTGAGCAGCCGATAAAGGGAGGCAGACACCTACGTGGGAAGGTTAGGAGGGGAAGGAAGCGCTGATTCAGCACTCACTCTGCAAATTTCTGCCATAAATCACTCTCAGGAGCAGCCTGGGAGCCCTCACAGCTGGAGGGAGAAGATTCTCGAAATCCCAGATTCTGAGCCTAAAACGTTCTCCTGGAGGGCTGGGGACCTTAGTCAGCTCTTTGCTCTCGCTGGGGGCCTCAGTTTACCCCGCTGCAAAATGGGGACCACTAGCCGCTCCTCTTAGGCCCTGTGCAGAGACAGTGTCCCCAGAAGCATTGAGGTCCCCATGCAGAGGTGTGTACATAAGCAATGGGATCGTTATTAGCAATTATCATTCCTGACAGTGTTGGTAAAATCACAAACAAAAACAAAAAAGTCACACAGAGCTCAGGAACATGCTTGCTCTGGGGTGTGGAATAATAACTAATGTTTATGTAGCGTCTCACAGCATGAAAACCCCAGTCATGTGTATTTTTCTTATTTGATCCCCACAACAAGGCAGCAATGCAGGTAAGGCAGAGATCTTTCCCCTGGTTTTATAAACCGGGAATTTCCATTTATAGAGGTAAAGGGGCTGCCCCAGGCCACGGAACCACGTAGTTTGGGGGAGCAAGAATGAGAACCCACGTTTTCCCTTTCCGCTGCCTCAACTGAAGACGCTGGGAAACAGGAAACAAGCTGATTCCCGGGAAAGGTGAAGGTACCACAGGATTTTGGGGTCCAGGTTTGGCTCCCAAACATGCCGCTTACGAGTGGTGTGGCCTCAGCTACTTCCCCAGTATAACG